GGCTGAGGGGGACCGGGGGCTGAGGGGAGCCCCAATGTCTGCAGGGAGCCCTGGGGCTGAGGGGGACACGGGGCTGAGGGGAGCCCCAATGTCTGCGAGAAGCCCTGGGGCTGAAGGGAGCTGTGCCAAGCCCAGGGCCAAGTGGGAACTGGGGGCCAGGTGGACCCCAGAGCTAAGGGGCGCAGGCCAAGGCTAACCTTCCTCAGCTCTTCCCCAGGGCGAGGGGTGTCGAGCAGGGTGCGCGATACCTTTCCGTGTTTTAAAAGTGAGTCTCATTTCTGGAGAGATTCAAGCTCCTCACCACTGCGTCAGGGGCTTCGTTGCCATTGAAATCTAATGGGGGGAGCCCAAGTGCTCCTGGCGCTTTTGGAGAGCCTCTGCACTGCTGCCGTGGGCACTGGGTCACTTGCACCATGTGAGGCTCATCTGGAAAAGGACAACGTTAATAGGTATCTTACTGATAGACTCATGAAACCCAGCTTATCCACATACTCTGTGTATACATATATGTATGATGTGTGTACAGTCTCAAAAATGAATAGTTACAGACATTAAATACCTAGCAAATTAAATACCACAAATCTTAACGTAAGCATTTTCCCTCCGCTCGAGCAGGTTCTTGGCTCCGCAGGGCAAAGCCGAGGGTTCACGAACCCAAGCAGCAGTGAACATCGCGCAGCGTATACACAGATACTTCAGATTTTAAGTCCTGGTTTTGACGGGGCTGTCCCAAACACAGCCTGTCCCAAATGGGTAGCGCCACGCACCGCCATAGCAGCACACGGCTGCGCTTGCGTGCTCCGTGGGACACGGCTGAGCTTGAGCGCCTGCTTGTTCAGCACTTGCCAGAGCAGAGTTTTGATCTCTGGAAGGGAAAATGAGCATGTATATTGTTAAGAACAGTGAGTAAAATGAGTGTATTAAGTCAAACATTAAAAAAAAAAAAAAAAAGAGGATTATTGACGCTTTTTTTAAATTTACGAAAGCGTTGGTGGTTTTTTTTTAAATAAAGATGGTTTCATTAAGAGCTCCTCCTGCATGACCACAACTGAAATACACACACTCACAGTGGCTATTATACTCATTAGATCCTCAAGAAAAGGACATTTATATAGGTATGAGATAGTTAGCCAGCTCACAAATTGGACTAGGACATTAGAGAGACCATTTCAAGTCTTGGGGAATAAATGGCAAGGAATTTTTTCAATATCCTTTGAAATATAAAATGTTTATTAAACAATAACAACCCCAAAAGAGCCTATTTTAAAGTACCTCAGGACAGGAAAGAAAACTGATGAAGCAATCTGCGCAGCAACAGAAACGGTGCAGCAGAAAAATATTAAACCTATAAATCCGAGTTAGCAGTGCATTAACCAGTGACTCATTGCCAGCGATGGTTTGTGGGGATCTGTTGCACTTTACCGTATGATTTCTGAGTAGCCAATGCCCATTAGTTCAAGCCCACAACAAATTGTGGTTTCTCTTGACTGTTTTCCTCTTCTCCCCGTGCACTCGCGCACGCACAGTCGCCCCATTCCCTGTTTTCCATGGGCAGGCACCAGGCACTCAGTAACGTGCCCTACGAGTCAGCCGTCACCGGCATCTCCTGGAGGTACCTCAAGGCAGCAGTGTGAGCTACGACAGGGAGCAGCCGAAGCACCCTGACCTGCAGGAGCCAAGGAGAGCACCAAGAGGTGGGATGGTGCCCAGCAGATGCTGTCGTAGCTAGAGGAATTCCCGGAGCATCAGGGACCTCTTTTCCCCAGCAAATAAATCTGCAGGATCCCGTGATGCAGATATTATTTTCACCTCTTCTCTCTATATGCATATAGATGAACACATGCTGCGTGACTCTGCAGCCACGACATTAATTAGCAGCAACTGAGAAGGTAGGAGAAAATGAGATCCTGGGAGAGCCTTTGTTCTGGTACCCATTTAGAAAATGGGAAATCTGGTGTCTGAAGGAGAGAGACAGAGAGTAACCTAGATTTGAGGCAAAAGCAGGTTTGTTGGCTGGGGACAGGACGGCGGGTGCTGCTGAGAAGCCGCCGGAGCGTGCACACTGACGGCAGCACTCAGAGCAGCCCCACGGGCTGTCAGCAGCCCTGGGCTAGGGGCAACCCTTCAGCGCTCCCTCCCGTGGACCTGGGGGCGATTCCGGGCGAGCCCCTTTCTCCTGGGAACTGCCAGTGCTGGCAGAGAGCTGCCTGGAAACGGCCTCAGCACGGATGAGGGCACGGCTGAATCCATGCTGACGCACAGGTTGGGCGCTCTTGCATCTGCTGACAGCACCCATGGGACTCCCCAGGCAGGGTCCAACCCAGCCGCCAGCGCTGCCAAGGGGAGCTCCCGTGCAGGCAGCGCCGCCGTACAGCCCAGCGCTGCCTACAGCCCAATGTAGTTAAAGCCCTTCCCAAGGGCTGCCTATGCACACCTGCACGTGCAGCTCCTGCACAAGGTGAAAGACATCCACACATCAGCCACTGGAGTGCGTATTTCTTATTTAGTGAATTTATTTTAAGGCAGGAAAGCTGGGCCAAAAGGGGGCTGGAGAACAACACCCTTGCTACCCTGCGCTGCCTGTAGGATCTATCCCAGAGTGATTATATTCACTTCCCTTTAATGTTAGATGATTAAGCCCTAAGCAGATACTTAAGAGGGGCTTTTGTGAGCCCAGATCCAACCCATTTCAGGTGGGTGGGTGGTGAGTGCCATGTGTGCTCCAAATGGCAGGAACCGCTGCCAGGCAGCCCCACATTAAGAGCCCAGTGCCAGGCTTGGCAGCCCCTGTGGCTGGGGCGGGATGGCTTCAAGGCAGGCAGCTCCCCTCAGGCAGGAGCTCTCTGCCATGAAGCCCAGGCTCGCTGTGATGGGGCCACAAACAGAGCAGGTACTGAGCCATGCTCGGGGATGGCTGGGAGTCAGACATCCCCTGGACGCCAGCACCGCGATTCATAGAGCTACTTCCCTCTCAAGAGTCTGCCGTTCAATTCTAGTTTAGTTTTTCTCCAAAAACAGCCAGTGCCCTTTACACCCCATAGCTGGCAGCTGGAGGCTGAAGCCATCTCCAAGCCCATGGCAGCACGACGAGGAGGAGAGTGCATCAGCACTGCACGCACCATGCAATTTTAATGCCCTTTCAGTTTCCAAGGATACAAAAAATGATCAATCAGATCCCTCGCTGCGGGGCT